GTTATATCATAAATTTACAAAAAATTAAAATTTCTCAAAATCCATGCCCTTAATTATAAAATGGAGTGTAAGAAACTCATTAAAACAAAAACCATGAAAAAATAATAAAATTTGTGAAAAAAGAAGCATTATTTTTTGTAAATTTATAGTTTATAATGTTCATGTTTTTCATGGTTTTTGTTTTAATGAGTTTCTTACACTCCATTTTCTAATTAAGGGCATGGATTTTGTGAAATTTTAATTTTGTCAAAAATTACAAAAAAAAATTTTTTAATTTGCGAAAAAATCATGAAATTTTTTTTTCAGCTTATTTCTGAATCAAAATAGTGTTAGGAAAAAAATATAAAAAATTTTTCCAATTATATTCTATTATAGTTGAAATTTCGGGTGCGGGTCCCCTTAATTGCAATACTTATCATTTGATAAGTTGAATATTCCATCGTGTGCATACATCAAAATTAGGGACATACATTTTCTGCTCAGTAATTTCACAACAGCTTTGTAGTTTTAGTCTCCATTGTTCTGAATATTTTAACACTTTGAAGAGGTTTCTTAGTTTGACCAAAGGAGGTTTGATTTCTAAAGATGAGCCAACGCAGTTTTCCAAATAATTTTCCTTCTCAATAATATTATTTACAATAAATTCATTTTTAATCGTTTCATTTCCCTCATCTTTATCTTCTTCATTACTTCCATCTTGGCCATTTTCATTTTCATCAGTGTGATTTCCAACCATTTTCAAAGTGCCTAACAAATCTTTTACTGCTATAAATTGAGAATATGCGCATAGCAACGAAAGTGTTGATCAATCGAGTCGAAAGGCATTAATCGAGATAGTTGCGTCATAAATGTGGTGTTTGCGGCTGCATTATCAAGTGTTATTCCTTGAACCTTCTCAGACAATTGGGAATTTTCAAGAACTTCGTGAAAAGTTTGTGCCATTGCTTGACATGTATGTTGCCCTTTTGAAGGAATAAAGAAAAGCGTTAAAGCGTGCATTTGCCAATCATCACTTATGAAGTGCGCTGTTAGTCCAAAGTATGAGCGGTTAGCTATTGACGTCCAGCCATCAATTGTAAATGAAATTTTGGATTTGATAGACTGCAATATTTTTAAAACTACTGATTCCATTTCATTATAACGTTTTGTAGTCAAATTTTTAAGTTCACTTCGCAACGGGAAATTAACTTTCGGATTCAAGTAATGGAACAGTTTTTGAGTGTCGTCGTCATCAAAAAAAGTAAACGGAAGGTATTTTCTAGCGATCCAATCCACTATACGTTTGTCAAATTATTTTTGGTCAAATACTTAAAATAAATATTCAAACTCTTTTAAGAAGTTAAATAAATATAAAAATTGTAAATAAATAATAATAAAAATTATAAATAAATAGTAATAATTGTAAATAAATAGTAATAACTGTAAATAAATAATTGTAAATAAACACAGGTCTCCTCAGAGGTGGGCAGGTTATTCTAAAATGTAACGCTGCAAACTTGGTGGGGAGTTGTTCCAAATGACTTCCAGATTCCAAATTTTCAAACCGATAAATCGTACCTGATCCTCTTTTCGAATTATCTCTTATACAGATAGTCGGAAACTTGCAAAATTTATTATTTTAATGTGGAAGCCTTGATTCAGAAGACTGCTGATTCTTCGTTACAAATTTGACATCAAGAATTAAAAATTTCAAGATGACGAACCAATATGGCGTCAAATCTAAAGTAAAATTTGAAAATTTTGGGCAAAATTCTTCATATTGCCCAAAAGACAATGGATTCGCCTAAATTTTGTTACTCGAGGGTTTTAGGAGGCGCTGATTGCGAAAATGAAGTTTATTTTCAAAAATTCAAAATGGCGGATCCAATATGGCGGACGAGTTTTACAAAAATTCATCGAATTCACTTGAAACTTGTCACTGGGGGGTTTTTGGGGTCGCTGATTACGAATATCAACTTCATTTTCAAGAATTCAAAATGACGGATTCAATATGGCGGGCAAGAAACTTTAAATTTCATTCTATTCGCTTAAATTTTGTATCTCGGGGGTTTTTGAGGTCGCTGATTACGAATATCAACTTTATTTACAAAAATTCAAAATGGCGGATTCAATATGGCGGACGAATTTCTTTAAATTGGTCAAATTCACTGAAAACTTGTTGCTCGGGGGTTTTTGGGGTCGCTGATCACGAATCCGATGATAGTTTTAAAAAAAGTTTAATTTCAAATCTCTTGTCGAACACCAAAATTGAAAAACTTATCTAATTGGTGCCCGGTGTTGTTTATGCACATAATTAGAAAGATATCAAGTGCATATATATATTTTAGGGGTCGCTGATCACGAATCCGATGATAGTTTTAAAAAAAGTTTAATTTCAAATCTCTTGGCGAACATCAAAATTGAAAAACTTATCTAATTGGTGCCCGGTGTTGTTTATGCACATAATTAGAAAGATATTAAGTGCATATATAGTAGGCGATACGTATATGCACATTCTGTAATTGCCATTAGTAGACCATTGCAAAAGGTAAGTCAATTACTTAAAAGAAGGTCCCTATAGTTTCAGCATATTACTAAAGGTAAACATATTGAAGTGCATGTGTAAGATCGCATTGCATAGACTTTGTATACAGTATACTTAGTTTAGAGTTTACTTTGTCAAAATGTGCATATACCTATCGCCTACTAAAAATACACTTGTTTTCTTTCTAATTATGTGCCTAAACAACACCGGGCACCAATTAGATAAGTTTTTCAATTTTGCTGTCCGCCAAGAGATTTAAAATTACATTTTTTTTAAACTATCATCGGGTTCGTGATCAGCGACCTCAAAAACCCCCGAGATACAAAATTTAAGCGAATAAAATGCAATTTAAAGTTTCTTGGCCGCCATATTGAATCCGCCATTTTGAAATTTTAAAACTGAATTTCATATTCGTAATCAGCGACCCCAAAAACCCCCGAGTGACAAGTTTCAAGTGAATTCGATGAATTTGTGTAAAACTCGTCTGCCATATTAGATCCGCCATTTTGAATTTTCGAAAATAAACTTCATATTCGCAACCAGCGCCCCCTAAAACCCCCGAGTAACAAAATTCAGGCGAATCCATTGACTTTTGAGCAATATGAAGAATTTTGCGCAAAATTTTTAAATTTTACTTTAGATTTGACGCCATATTGATTCGCCATCTTGAAATTTTTAATTTTTGATGTCAAATTTGTAATCAGGGACCCGAAAAACCCCCTATTAGCAGTTTTCAAGTATTTTACATTACTTTTTTTCTTTTCGTTTTCAATTAAATGCCATATTTGGTCCGCCATTTTGAATTTTTAAAAGTACCACTATGCATTTGAAAGCTTACATAATGAGCTAAATTTTAAGCCATATTAAACCCTTCTTAGACTAAACCATTTTTGGACAGGGGGGTCTTCCGTTGACGTAGAATGCCCCATATTAATTTATAAAATAGAAATTATACAAAATTTTCGCAGCTTTGTAAAAATTGTATAAGTAATATACAAAGAATTAAAAAACAGGCAGAACAATTTATACATTTTTAAAATCGCTAAAACAATTTAATTAAATTTGACTTTTTAGGATTAAATTATTTTTCTTTTTACAAATAAGAAAGGTTAACAAATGAAAATTGTAATATAGAAATAGAACATTGTAAAAGGTGAATTCAACCTTGTAATGGAACTTTGCTCTTCATGTTTTCTTTTTTTACTTTCTTCACTGCCGTCCATTATTAAAAAAACTAATTAGGATAAGAAAATCTCAAGTTGACACGTCGTTTCAATAGAAATGTGTTTTGAAAAAATGTTTGAAGTTTCAACTCGATTCAAGACAATCATTAACAATTGAAAAGTCAAACTTCTCGATTGACAACATTATGTCAAAAGCGAACAAATTCAAGCGATATCAATCGTTTCTTGACTCGACATGCATCACTATCAATGAACGATTTGTAAAAAATTGATATTATGATACAAATTGAGAAAAAATGAGTTGATCAAAACAAAAGAATAAACTAAATTCTCAAATATGAGAGCCTATTCACAATGAAAAAAAGGAGCGATAAGATTAAGATTCTAGTATCGAATGCAACTCTAGTACCTACTGTTCAGTAGCTTTCAAAAATATGCGAAACCTGAAATTACGGAAATTCATAAAATCAATATTTTTAGTGGATAAAATCGTAAAAAAGAAACAAAAAGTGAAAAATATCTAATTCTGTATTTAAAGATTATTTTTAAATTAATCGTTTGATGTGTGGTTTCAATGTGATAGCCGAAGAATGTGTATATATATATATATATATAGCGTTTATATACATATTCGAGTTGAGAGTGTTATACAGTAATCAAGAGAAGTGTCGAGAAGAAGAAGAGCAAATTGGTGCTCTTGGTAGTAGGAGCACAGGAGGCGACTGTAGGATGCTTGAGGAAGTATATAAAGCAATCGGGTCAGGGGATCCGGATCTCGATGTTCCTTTCCCTTCAAGCAAAGCTATCCAAGGTGCAAATATACATACAACAGTCTCCCTTGTCTTTCTTTGTTCGAAAAGTGAATCTAAAAAATGCTTTGGAACATCGCGTGTATGAGTTGCGTTTATAGAGAGACTTTCTATATCAACATTTATCTAAAAATTATTTTCTTAAAAAAATGTTTTTCCTTATCAAGATTAAGTATGTAATACTCTTCTACATCATTAGTTTTAAATATAATATAATAATTAATAGATTTATTTACAAGTAAAATAATAATTTGTATATGGGATTCAGAAAAAAATTCCAGTGTGAAATTAATTTTTAATAATAATGTATAATAATAATTGTAATTTTTTGTAGCCTTTGTTCCAATTATTTATTATACAATTAAGGTCCTTTAAATAAATTAAAAATAATGATGTATTTATTTAATTATGAACTTGAATTATATTAGAATAAAAAAGAATCTGATTTTGTATTTTAAAAGTTGCGAATCTTTTTATTTGCAGAATAAATTAGTATCTGTCGATGGCGATCAGGTGAAACTCCAGATTTGGGATACCGCTGGTCAGGAGAGATTTCGAAGTGTAACACACGCTTATTATCGAGATGCTCATGGTACGCTTTTAACAATTTTTAAAAATTTGTATGAAACAAACTTTATTTTCTTCAAGAAAAATGCATAATTGATATTTAATTTTAATGTTTTTAAGCATTAATTTTGTAGAACTTCAATTCTGAATAGCATTTTAAAAAAAGTAATTTTTTAAAAAGCCAAAAAAACGGTATATAGTTACAGAAAAAGGAATATTTTTTGAAAAATTTGTTTTAGCATTGTTACTACTTTACGATATCACAAACAAAAAGAGCTACGACAATATCAGAGCTTGGCTTGGCGAGATTCGAGAATACGCACAGGATGACGTTGTCGTCATATTAATAGGTCAGTTAGAATGGAATTCGTTACGAATATAATAACTCTATTTCCTCTTTCTCATTAACTTGTATATATAAATTGTGCTTTTTATTATACTTTAATTATTATTAATTTTTTATGTTATGCGCTTATTAAAATGCTTCAATTTAAATAATTTTTAAATATAGTTATTTGTGAAATTCCCAATTGAGATTTAGTAGGCATATAACATTATAGGAATCTATAATTAATCTTATAGAAAAACATACATTTTTCCTGTAGAAAGTTTTCAACATAGGAACTTTCCTACATAGGTTCTTATAAAAAATTCTATCAGAATTTACATGGGATCCTTGTAGGAACCTATATCGGATTTTCTACGGGGACAGTCGATTTCAAGGGTTTAATTTGAATACAAATTGTGATAGAAAAATATGAACCCGAAGCTGGCAGATCGCAGTAGAGATATTTCGATTTAAGAAATATATGTATTTGTGATAAAAATTTGATATCTTAAATGGGGGTTGCTTTAATAGATTTGTTTAAATTTCAAAAAAATCATAAAAAGGTATACCGTAAACTGCGGCTAATAGGAACAGATTTCAACTTTAAAGGCTTGTAACTTTTTTGAAGGGTTAAAGAATTGTTTTGATCAAGGCTCGAATTTTAAGCAAAGAGACGAAAAAGATGCATTTTTTCGAACTTACAAAATAGGGTTATTAGGAACAATACTTACGTTTTGACAACACACTTTAACAATTCGGAAGAAAGAATTGTGTTCCTTATAGCCCCGCCGTTTGTGAATTTGGTTTTTGTCTCATAAATCTTACTGTAAATACAAAATAAACATATTTATTACTTAGTAATCTCAATAAAGTTTCCCATAAGAAATACCTTTAATAAAAGGTTAAAAAACTTTAAGTTAAAAAACTTTAAAACTTTGAGAAGCTAAAACAGAAACAACTTCCCTCAATTAAATGTTTTCCACATTTGAAACTTCACTAAAACACATTATGTCACTTACAATAAGCTACTACTGTTCACAAAATAATTATTAGTCTCAATTATTGCATTGAATAGTATTGTCAGTTACCGCAGCATCAATTTTTTCAAAAGCACTCTCTAAATCTGAATATGTGAAATTTCACTTATTGTACGTTATAAGTCGTCCTCTCGATCAATAAGTGCATATACACTTATAAATAAGTGAATTTTTCACTTATTCTGAGTGAAATTTCACTTATTATAAGTGAAACTTATAACTTATTGATCACTTATTGCACTTATTGATCGAGAAGACGACTTATAACGTACAAATATGTGAATTTTCACATATTCAGATTTAGAGAGCAAGTAACACAATTTATCATCGACACACGGAATGTGCAGAAATCATATTTTTGTTTCATACTGTAGTATACTCCCCTAATACTAAATTTTTTCTAATATTCAAAAAAATTGAAGGACCTCCAACCAATATTAATATTTTTGAGAAATTTTGACCCATTCGGCTACAAAAATTCTCAAAACTAATTTTCCAAACCTAAAGATCTTTTTTCTCGTGAAGTTTCACATATTTATACATCATTTTTTTTGTAAATATTTTAATTATTAACAACCCTTTCCCTAAAAAATTGATAGATTATTATGTTTTAAAATAGGCAATAAATGCGACTATGGCAATCAGCGGGAAATTCGTCGCGAGGAAGGGGAGAGACTAGCACGAGAGTATCAAGTGCCCTTTATGGAGACTTCGGCTAAAACTGGTATCAATGTCGAGTTGGCATTCCATGCACTTGCCAGGTAATAAACTACATACCTTAACTTATAAAGAAATTTAAAATAGACATTATTTTATAGTTTTTCCTTTGAAAATAAAATCAAATAAATTAAATAGTGTAAGAAATTATTATTATTATTGTTGCATTAGGGAACTGAGGGCTCGTGAAAATATGAAAACGCAGGATCGTTCAAACGAAATGAATAAATTCAATGTTCAAGATTACGTTCGTCAACAATCCGCAACTCAACCCAGTTCTTGTTTCAATTCAAGCTGCATTACGGCCTGAGAATTTACACGCGCACGTTATATATATACGAAAATTATGTTTACATAAATTTATACTGGGTGTCTAAAATGTATTCCCCCTCCTTTCAAATTAATTTTTGATGTTAATAAGAAATTTTAAAATAATAATTTTTAAAACATGTATTTAAAGGAATGGAATTTTGTAGACACTCTTTATAATTGTTTATAATTGTACGAATTATATATACAATTGTAAATATACGCAAATCACTGTAAGCCACAAATAAAAAATATATTGATTGCGCAAATTTATATTAATATCACTTCAGTTATATTTAAAAAAAAAGAAGGTATGTACATGAGAATCATATATTTAATATACTTTGTTAAATTTTGATATTTATTAACATTGCGATTCAATTAAATTTTTATGCTAATAGTAATTTCAAAATCTTACCTTTTCCAGAAGACAACTTATATTTAATTTTATAGATACATCTTTCTGAGTAATAAAAAGTAAATATACAATATGATTTTAGTTTCTTACTTAGAAAATGTTTAATTTTCTGCAAAACATTTTTAATAAATTCAGATAAAAAATACTGATTTTTGTATGCCCTTTTTCAAACCTTTTCTGCATCTACTTTATACGATATAATTTTTGATTTCAGAAAAATCTTCCTCACTATGAGAAGTTATATTAAAAAAACTAATTTTCTTTATAAAAGTGCCATTTTGATATTATTTAAAATCATAAAAACAGTCTGAAAACTTACAAATTATTAATAAGGATATTTGAAAATATGCTTATTTGTTTCAAAAAATGTTGACTTTTTTTAAAGAAATATATAGCTGGTTTGTATACGTACAAGTATAAATCAGATACAAAAGTCCCCCAAAATTGTTGTGTTTCTAGAATGTTCATATTAAGTGCAAAATAACTTTATTTTTCTTGTTTTTTTAAGGCAGAAGATATAGAACTTTTTTTTGGTAGGATTAAAAATATATATATATAGTCAAGAATTTACCCAAAGAGAAATCGTTAATCAACTTGACGTCAATTTTACTATATTATAATCAATGATCAAAATTTTTCAAAAATTTGATGATTTTTTTAAAAATTAAAATGTTAATTAATTGTATAACAGGGTGGTTACAAGTTTCAGTTTATCAATTTCCCTGACTTTACTGACATGTGACCGCCCTGTATAATAAATAATATTATTATATTTTATGAAATTAACTTACTTAATTAAATAAATTAATTATATAAAATTTCAGTCATTTTTTATTAACTATCAATTAGTAATAATATTCATCAGAACAAACAATTTTTACTTAAAATTAAAAATATCAAAATTTCGTAATTACAATAAGTGATTATTTTTACTAGGGTTAGATTTTGTTTTTCAACCAAAAACTATAATTACTGTAACAATTATTCACTTTACAGGTCTCGGTTAAAGTATTTCATAAAAATTCTTGAATATTAAATGTTTGAAGAATTTTAATTATTGTAAATTCTAAAAATAATTAAATTTTTAAAAGTTTTAATGAGAAATCTTCAAATAAAAATTTTAAAATTTTAAATTAATTAAAAATTGTCTTAAAAAAATTCATTATTACTTAAATATATTACGTCAAATCTGTAAAATCTCCGTGATAATCGCAAATCTAATCATTTTTTACATCATATTTTTTTTAGATTCTACGTTGAAAAATACATGTTCATAAGAAATTTGAACCGAATCATTCGAGTAGTTTTTTTAATAAAGCAAGAAATGAAGAAATGTAATTTTGACAAAAAGCGAGATTATATGTTCCGTATCAGTTTGTGTACGGAACCCGGACAATGAATAATTGTAATATTACAAATTATTAATACAAAGTCTCAGATTTTTCTAAAATATATGAGTCGAATTGACTTTAGGTGAAATATATTATAATAGTAACCGCATTCAATTACAGGATTTAGGATAAATAGGATGTTTTAATTTCTACTTGAAAATTCTAATTAATTATATTTTTTCTATTATATAATGTCAAATGTTTTTTTTGCTTATCAAGATAGACAGGGTGACCTTCACTCTATTTGAATTATGGTCACTTTAAAAATATAATAATGGATAGGTTTTACATTTTTTTTCTTGAAAATTAATACTTTTCGTCCAGAAAATTCTATTAGTGTAATAAAATTTTAATTATTCTTTTTAAGCCTGTACATATTTCTTTGGATAAACGTCCTTATATACCCAAAGAGAAATTGATTATCAATTTGATGTCAAATTTTCATAAAATTGTATACTTAAATTGACGAAAATGTTTACCTCAGTTTGAACATTGTTTGACATCAAAAATTTTTATGAAATACTTTAACCAGTGCGAATAATAGTTAAAGTAATTACTTTTTGGTTGAAAAAGAAAATTTAACTCTAGAAATTTCAAGTGATTATTTTTAATAGAGAAAAAATTATTTAACACAATACAATGCAATTTACCATTTTTGAATAAATAAAGTCAAATTTATATAAAGTTGTCAGCCATTTTGAATCTGACATTTAAAATTTTTGTAAAACAACATTGGATTTAACAACAGCGAATACAAAAATCCCTGACTAATGAGTTTTTAAGTGAATAACATATAAATTTTCATAAAAGTTGTCTGCGCCATATTGGACCCGCCATTTAGAATTCTTGAAAAGCAACATTGCGGTTTCGTAATCAGTGACTCCGAGTTCGAGTTAATTGAATGGAATAATTATATTTTTTTATAATAATTAAACAATTCCCTTTTAACATTACATATTAACTGCAAATGGCTTCTATTAATTAAAAGCGATTAAAAACATTTTTATATTATATTTACCAAACCTTATATATATACTACAAAAACTAGAAGAAAACCCTTTATTTCTTATTATTTAAAATAATTTTAACAATTTACAAAAAAAATTTATTGACCTCGAAAGAACTCTAAAATTTATTCCTGAATGTAAGAAATAAAATTCTAAAATCCATTAAGATTTGTTGGCTGTATACTACTTTAAACCCGTTGTATGATTTTTTCCAATGTGCGGTGGTATGCTTGCGCGCAGTGCTCGGCAAAAAGTAAAATTACAGATTTATTTATTTGCCCTAAAATGTCTTTTCATTTATTGTTAAACTACATACATTATAAAGAACATGTATCAACAAAAAAATTTTTTAAATCGTGTGTAGAAAGCACTTAAAATTGCATTTATTTAGAAACAAAATTATACAAAAATAGAGGAAAACAATTTTTTATAACAAAAAATATTATAAATAATTTAAAAATTTTCAAAATCCGAACGCGAACATATTACTAGATACTAGTACTTAAAAATACAAAAACTTATTTGGGATCGTCCATATATTACGTAACACGTTTTTGGGGGGAGGGGGGTCAAGCTATTTGTTATACGATAAGCCAAAAAAATGGCGTAAATGTATGTAACAGTGTGTTACATGGGGGGAGGGAGGGGGGGGTCAAAATTTTCAAAAATTAGCGTTACGTAATATATGGACGGCCCCTTTTAAGTTTTGCAACTTTGTCAAAATAGGGGGAGGGGGGTAATTCAGCAATTATTACTCAAATATAATAATTATTACAACTAATTAACACGTTAAACAAAATCGTTAAATTTTCGTCAATTTTATTTGATTAATTTTGATCATAAATTGACGACAAGTTGATTCTTGTTTTAGCAATGGATGTACAGATTCTTCGCTAAATAGAGTAAAATAATATACGTACCTATTAAGCTGAGTCTCCAATAGGTGCCAATATGCATATGTGCAAGTGCCAGTGCCAATTAAACCCATTTAAAATGTATTGGGGATTGGCACTGGCACTTGCACCTACATTGGCACCTATTGGAGACTCAGCTTTATAATTATACGTCATTAGTGTGTTTATACTTCTCCACCTGCATAGGGCAATAAATTAACCTGAAATCGAACCTTACTATGTCCAATTTTTGTACAAAGTTGACATAGCATACCTGTAATCACCTGCAATTTCTTCAATCGTTACACCTCAAACGCCATCACTTCTTCTTCTTACTTTTTTAGTGGCCTATTGCAGAGCATACAGCCATATCTAAGCATGCAGCCATATCTACCAAATAAAACTCAAAACTCTTTGCCAACTTTGCCTTGCTCTCTCTCCAAACCTGAAATTAAAACAAATCGCAACGCCCCTACAGGGAAATTATAGAAATATAAATTAGCGGGAAAAGTGAGCGCATGCGCAAAAGGGTAAATTTCATTTCTCTTCAATTTTATTGCTCTCTTACATTTTACCTACTTCGTGATTTTACCCATCATTTATCGACAAATCGATTATTATTTCAATTTGTATTATTATTTATTTTCTATAATTTTGAATTTTTCTTTAACAGAACCTAAAACAATGTGTTTGTCTTGAACAGATTTAAAAATTTAGCGCCATGCGCAAAATACTGCGCAAATAATGCCTGACAATCATTGTTTTGATTCGCGCCTAATAATTGTTTGTTTCATGTGCTCACGAATTCTTGACAATTATATATTAAGTATTTTTTGGTTTCTTGTGAGAAAATGGGAATTTTAGGACTCTCCAAATTAATTGCGGATGTTGCGCCGCAATCTATTAAAGAATCCGAGTTGAAACATTACTTTGGTGAGTTGTTTTTATTGTTTCTTTCTATAAACATAACCTCACTTTTGAAAAATTATATTTTATATTTCCTTCTTATATATTTTCTCAAAAATGTTAAATTCATTTATTTTCATGAAGAAACAATGTAAATTTTTTATTTAAAATATTATTAAAAATTAAAAATATTAGAAAATAATAAAGAAAATAAAAAACGTGAATTAAATAATTGCGTTTCTTGTAAAGAATAGGTTATGTATTTTTGGCGGTTTTGTTAAATTGAGAATTGACCTATACCGCGGTAATACAGAAAAGAACAATAGTAAATTTTAATTTTATTGTGTTTGAAAATAAATTTTTTTCTTTTTCAGGACGTAAAATAGCTATCGATGCTTCTATGTGTCTTTACCAATTTTTAATCGCTGTCCGTTCCGATGGGGCGCAATTAACATCAACGGACGGAGAAACAACTAGGTGAAAATTATTTATGTTTTCATTTCAAATTATTTTAAGGTTTATTTTTATTTAATAATTTATAATTAAATAATTATATTTTTATTCAAGATTTATATTCAGTAATTTATACTCCAATTATATAAATGTAAATAAACAAGTTATATTTCAAATTCTTTTTCAAAATAAATAAATTCATTTTTATTTGCACATTTTTACTTAATTTGGTAATTGATTCTTTTGTTCTATTTTGCAGCCATTTAATGGGAACTTTCTATAGAACAATCAGACTCGTCGAACAGGGAATAAAACCAGTTTACGTATTCGATGGTAAACCACCAAATTTAAAAGGTGGTGAACTGGCAAAACGGGCCGAAAAAAGAGACGAAGCTCAAAAACTTCTTCAAGCTGCTGAGGAAGCGGGTAAAGAATTTATTTAAATTAAAAATCAGAGCTTGACTTGTGCGAAAGTACACTAACAGCAGTAATTGTGCGACCGCTACTTTTTTGATGACTATTAAATAACTTTTAACTTGAAAAATATAATAACTAAATCTTTTTCCTTTTTATTTTTAATAAACTGATAAAATTTTGAAAAAATGACACCTTAACGACAAAAAAATGTTAATTTTTCAATCAGATATTTAACAAAAAAAAATTTGCCTAATTTCTTTATATCTTTTTAGAAGATTTTAATGTTTTTTAACGTTCATACGCTCAATTAAATTGTATTTTTTTTAGAATTGAGATTTTTTACAGGGTTGCCTCAGGTCAAGGAAAGTAGAATTGGTCAGAAAAATCAGGAAAAAGTCAAGGATTTTTATTAAAAGTGCAGGAAAAAATTATATGTTTAAAATTTGTAAGAAAATTCTGAATTTTTGTGTCTTTTTGTTTGACTCATAAACTATAAAATTACAAAGAATTCTAAAAAAACCTTAAATTTTTCTATTTCTGATAATAATTTATTTTAAATAACTTAATTCTATTGATAACTTAATTTGCTAACTTAATTCTAATAACTGTCATAAAGTTATTACTTACAAATCATTTAATGAAGTATTGTTTTTTAAATTTAAATTTCAATTCTATTGAAATTAGTTTCAATTTTCAAAATTTTAATGCAATTCTTTCAAAGGATTCAACTATCTTAATAAATATTAAAATTCTTTCCAGAAATTCTATTATTTTCGAAAATTAAAAAAAAATTCCCATCAACATTTCAATTATCTTTATAAATAGTAAAATTCTTCATCGAAATTCAATTATATTCAAAAAATCTAAAAGAAATTGTCAATATTTCAATTATCTTTATAAATGAATAGCAAAATTCTACGAAAAAATTCAATTATTTTCTGGAATTTTAATAAAATTCATTGCAAAATTCAATTATTTTCATAAATAATAGTATTCATCACAAGAATTCAATTATTTTCAAAAGTAATAAAATTCAATTATTATCAAAAATTTTAATAAAATTTATGGCATAATTTTAATTATTTTCAAAAATTTTCTTAATTCAATGATTTTCAATATTCTACTAATTAGATTATTAATATATTCTATTAATTAAATTTCCCAAAAGAATTCAATTATTAAACAAAAATTTTGATAAAATTCTACACAAACATTCAATTATTTTCCAAAAAAAAATATAAAAATTTGAGAGGAATTCAATCATTTAAAATAAGAATTTGCAAACATTTTTTCGAAGAAATCAAATGTTTTAAAATTTGGCATTAAATTCTTCGCGGTACTTCAATTATTTTTATAAGTTTTCAAATTATTTTCATAAATAATAAAATGATTCGGAAAAAGTCAATTATTTTCATAAATAAAAATATTCATCACAAGAATTCAATTATTTTCAAAATTTTTTTTTAAATTATTTGCAAAATTTCCCATTTATGATCCATTTTGGATCGCGGGATCTTTGTTGTAAATAAATAAATAAATATTCAATTACTTTATAAAATAATTAAAATTTTACAAGAATTCAATTATTAAAAATAGAATTTGCATAAACTTTTTCGAAAAAATCAATTTTTGGAAACTTTTTTATAAATTCTTTGCAATAATTCAATTATTTTCATAAATAATAAAACTCATAGCAGAATTTTAATTATTTTTAATTCAATTTTAATCGAATTGCTCGAAAAATGTAATTATTTTTAAAAACTTTATTAAAATTCGTCGAAAAAATTCAATTATTTAAAAATTAGTTGATAAAATTATGCAAAAGAATTCAATTTTAAGAGACATTCAGTTATTCAATAAATTGTTTGTTTGTATTTAAATAATTGAATTCTCGTAGAATTTTCTAATAAAAATTTATTTAAAAATTAATTTCAGTTAATGTTTTAGATAATAATTGAATTTTGGAGAAGTTACTAATAATTGCAATTTTTAGAAATAATTGAATTTTGGAAAAGTTTCAAATTAAAATCTTTGAAAATTTGAATTTTTCATACTTTTAATTGAAAATTCTATGGAACTAATTTTCTTCAAAAAGCTTAATCGGAATTTTTTTAAATTATTTCAAGTTTTTATTTTCTAATGTATATTTTATTAAAGAATTTTCGAATAATTGAAATTTCACGTAAAATTGAATTGTAACCAAGTGGATTTAAAAATTTTCGAAGAAAAACTTTTTCGAAAATTATTAAAAATAATTTATTTAAAGAAGAATTTTATTTTAAAATTGTAGAAAATAATAATTGAATTGAAATGATGAAAATAATTTTGAAAAAGTTACAATAACAATATTCTTATATTATAATATAAAATAATGATTTTATCACTCGGTCACCTTTAATTATTATAAAACATGAAGAAAGCGATCGATAACTTATTCTCATAAGTTATTGAATTTTAAAAGGTTTGAATTAGAAATTTCGAAAATCTTAGTTCCCAGGGAAAAATAATAATGATTAAATATTTATTTGAAAATTAAGTTATTGGTGTTTTTGAATAATTTTACAATTTAGGAAATTCGTAAATAAATGTAATAGAACGTTTTTTGAGTATTCTTTAGGGTCAGGGAAATATTCAAAATTTTGTTTTGTCAGGGGAAAGTTAGGAAAAAACAAAATTAAATTTTTCTGGCAACCCTGTTTTACAAAAATTTATCTACATACATTCCATTAGAAAGTGCAAATTATTAAAGTTTAAGTTGCATCTAGAAAATTCGAAAAATTATAATTACTATAAAGATTCTAAAAAAGGTTCAATAAGATGCGTTATTTCAAAAAAATGTTTAAATTATCTCAAATTGATTTATTTTATTTCGAAATTTTCAAACTAAATGTTTTAAAAGAACTCATTACCAATTTTTTTTTCTTTTAAAATAGGAAATGTTGAGGATATGGACAAATTTAACAGACGCTTAGTCAAAGTCACAAAAACTCACAACGAGGAGGCAAAACAACTTTTGAAATTAATGGGTGTTCCCTACATCGACGTAAGTGCGAAGAACTTTTTTTTGTTTATCAATAATATTCTACATTGTTAAAGAATTAATTTTTTCAATATTTAAAAAATTTCTATTTCCTTACTTTTAGGCTCCCTGCGAGGCTGAAGCCCAATGCGCGGCTCTTGTAAAATCGGGAAAAGTTTTCGCAATGGCCACAGAGGATATGGACGCATTAACTTTCGGTGCCAATGTTCTTTTACGTCGTTTGACATTCAGTGAGGCGCGAAAATTGCCAGTACAAGAGTTTCATTTCGACAAAGTCCTTCAGGGATTGGAACTAAATAAGGACGAAGTATGTTTCATTTTTGAAAATATTTTTCCATAAAATAATAAATTCCAACTAACAAAAATTTATTGAATATTACCAACTATTTAAATATTCAAAAACGTTTTTTTTATTAAAAAAAATTCAATTTTTAAAATACTTTGAATGTAAAAAATAATTTAATTTTCATTTTTCCAGTTTATCGATCTTTGTATAATGTTGGGTTGCGATTACACGGACAGCATTAAAGGAGTTGGTCCAAAACGAGCGATTGAATTGATTAAAACTCACAGGTCACTGGAAAAAATTATCGAGAATTTGGACAAGAAAAAATTCTCCGTTCCTGAAGATTGGAATTATAAACAAGCGAGACTCTTGTTCCAGGAACCGGAAGTGAAGAATCCAGATGAAGTCGAGGTTATTTTTAAGAAATAATTTATTTTATTATAAAAAATGTGAAAAAATATTTTTAAATTCAAATAATTTTTTGTAATTTAGCATTTTTTTCAATAATTGGAAATTTTTTTCAGCTAAAATGGACGGATCCAGATGAGGAAGGTTTGGTGCAGTATTTGTGCGGCGACAAGCAATTTAATGAAGAGCGAGTTAGAAATGGAACAAAAAAATTGCTAAAAGCGCGAAATACATCAACTCAGGGTAGACTCGATTCATTCTTTAAAGTTTTGCCAAATCCAAATCCCCAGAAGCGAAAAGTCGAAGATAAGAAAACACCCGCGAAAAAGGGGAAATCGGGTGCAAAACGAGGAAGAGCAAAATAATTTACATTTTAGTTTTTTTTTAAAATACCTTTTAAATTTCATTTAATTACGTTTTATATTAAAAACATGTTTTTTCCAAACTTTTTTTCACTTGAGAATCTTTTTGCTTTGTGAGATTGTATGAATGAGTAAGTTTAATAAAATTTTATTTTTAAAAAATATATTTATTCTTGAGAATTATTTTCATTTTTATATTTTTATTTCATAAAATATACACTTATTAGATATACAAACTTAACAAATACTTTCAATAAACTCCAGAAAAAATTTTAAACATTAAAAATTACGCATCCGAAGTGCATTAATTTTAAAACTCTGTAAAAAATGATTTCTAAAAAAATATTGCAAAATAAAATTATTTTCTTTTTATATAAAATACAATTTGAAATATACAAACAACGCCTTTAAAAAATCAAAGGCTTCTTTTTTTACAAATATATTCGGGCAATTATTTCCAGTTTATAGAAATTTCCCATTGACATATAAATATATTATATTAATATAATATATTTTTTACTAAGTACACTTTTTTTTCTTAAACTTGATGTTTCCTTTTTTTTCTCGTTTATTGTCTCACTGATATTAATGATAATTAAAAAAAAAAACCTTCGGACGAGTCGAATTTTTATTTCAGTCTTGGGATGTTTCGTTTTCAAGAGAATATAAATTTATGTAATCTGTCTCTGAATCCTGATGATGAATATTTTAAATATTAATTTGTGGACAAAAATATCTGGAAACAATTTTTTTTTTCGTTTTTCTTCGTAGACGCTATAATTTCAATGAAATTTTATAACCGTACTGCCAATTGCATTTGGGTCCATAATGTGATCAAGTGCTTGATCGATGCGCACTGGTGAAAATACACGATCGACAACAGTTTGAAGTTTATCCGCATCGACAAGTTCTTGTAGGCATCTTAGATAATTCACATCTATCTTTGCACCATCTTTCCATTTGTAATTACTAATTCCGAAAAAGTACTGTAAAAAATTAATTTTTGTTTTATAATTTTCAACATATTTGAATGGAAATTGAAAATAATCAAGATAGACTACTGGCGGTAAATGTGCAACCCCCTCTTTTTTGATGACTAAAATAACTTTTAATTTGAAAAATATAATAACTTAATCTTTTTCCTTTTCATTTTCAATAAACTGAAAAAATTCTTAAAAAATGACACTTTTACGACAAAAATGTTTATTTTTCAATAAGATATTTAACAAAGACCCCATTTTTAGTGATTTCCCTAACTTCTTTTTATCTTCCGAAGAAATTAACGTATTTTAACGTTCATAGAATCATTTGAATTGTATTTTTCTATAGAATTGAGATTTTTTACAAGAATTTATCTGTTGTTGTTGAGGTGTCATTTTTTCAGAATTTCATCAGTTTATTGAAATTAAAAAGGAACAATTTTCACTCAAAATTTTTTTTGGATTAAAACAATTTTTTTCGAATTCTATAAGAAAAATAAGTAAATACATGTTTTTTTATTTTTTTATTTGATCAAAATTATAAAAGTTATGATTTTTTTAAATTTAACATCTTCAGAAGCAAAAGATTTTTCTAAAACTTTTAACTCCGTTATACCAAAAGATAAAAAATAATGTAATATATGAAATTGACTTGTTTTTTCTTGAATATTTCAAATATGTAATAAAAAATAACTTTAATATAGTGAAAACATTAAATAAATTGAAATTTCGTCAAAAATGTGACTTTTCTCAAAAGCGAAGTAATTGATTTTCGATTTTTTTCTTCCATTACAACCACTGATAAATATAGAAATTTTTCCCACTTATGCCAAAGTGGTGTTCTTTAGGGTTCAAATTATATTTAAAATTATGTCAGTAGTTGCACAGAGTTTTATTCGATTTTTACACTTTTTAAAAATTTAACCTTCAAAAACAAAAGAAAACGAATGTTTTGTGGTTAATTTCTTAATTTCCTTCTGTAAAATCTGTGCAACTACTGACATAATTTTAAATATAATTTGAACCCTAAAGATTATAATCATTAATTTTTTATAATAAAAAATTAAATATTATTAGTTTTACAACAATTAAAATTTCAGATGACTGACAATTTTAAAATCTTGAAATTTAATTATTTTTAATATTTCATACATTAATGCTTCTAATATTCAATTATTAACTAAAATTTTAACTGAAATTAATTTTTAAATCAATTCCTGTTAGAAAGTTACACGAAAATTCAATTATATAAATACAAAAACAAATAATTAATTGAATAATTGATTATTTCTTAAAACTAAATTCATATAAAGAATTTTATTAAAATTTAAAATTTTCAAAATAATTGAATTCTTTCAAAGAATTTTTATAAAATTTTTAAGAATAATTGCATTTTTCTAGAAATTTATTTTAAATTGTAATAAAAATAATTGCAATCCTTCGAAGAATTTTATTATTTATGAAAATAAATTGATTCTTGCAATAAATTTTATTAAATTTTTAAATAATTGAATTCCTGGAAAAAAATTTATTATTTGTGAAAATAATTGAATTTTTTTGTGAAATTATATGAAAATAGGAAATAAAATTGAAAATACTTGAATTTTAGCGAAGTATTTCATTATGAGTGAAATTAATTGAATTCTTGCGAAACTTCTTCAAAATTATTTTCCTCATTTCAATTCAATTATTTTCTACAATTTTTAAATAAAATTCTTCTTTAAATCAATTATTTTTAACAATTTTTGAAAAAATTCTTCTTTGAGAGTTTTTAAATCCATTTGTTTACAATTTAATTTTACGTGAAATTTCATTTATTCGAAAATTCTTCAATTAAATATACATTAGAAAATAAAAACATGAAATAATTTTAAAAAATTTCGATTAAGCTTTTTGAAAAAAATTAGTTCCATAGAATTTTTAATTAAAAGTATGAAAAATTCAAATTTTCAAAGATTTTACTTTGAAACTTTTACATAATTCAAATATTTCTAAAAATTGCAATTTTTAGTAACTTCCCCAAAATTCAATTATTATCTAAAACATTAACTGAAATTAATTTTTAAATAAATTTTTATTAGAAAATTCTACGAGAATTCAATTATTTAAATACAAATAAACAGTTTATTGAATATTTTAATGTCTCTTAACATTGAATTCTTATACATAATTTTATCAACAAATTTTTAAATAATTGAATTCTTTTAGCGAATTTTATTGAAAATTGTAAAAAAAAATAATTGAAATCCTTTGAAGAATTTTATTATTTATGAAAATAATTTTATTCTTGCAACAAATTTTATTAAAATTTTTTTGTCAAATACTGTTTGTTAATTGCGGTCTTGGGTCCAAATAATTACAAATTTGTTCTTTTTTAACAAACAGTATTTGAAAAAAATTAAGGTTCTTGAAAAAAATACAGAAATTAAAATTTTTTTAAATAACTGAATTCATGGGAAAAAATCTATTATTTGTGAAAATAATTGAATCGTTTGTGAAATTTTATTAGAATAGTAGATTTTGAAAATAATTGAATTTTACCGAAGAATTTCATTATTTGTGAAATTATTGAATCGTTTCAAAGAATTTTATTAAAATTTGTTGAATTGTTTCTAGGAATTTTATTAATATTTTTGAGAATGATATATTTCAACTTCTAGCGAGTTTAAAGTAGTGAAGATTTTTTAAAAAAAAGAAAGAAAAAAGTTGCTTTTGTGTTACAAATCTAAAAAAAGTATCCAAATAATAGCTAATCGTAAAAACTCTAGTAAATAGTAGGTTTAATTTACTCTAGTAAATGAGTGCGAAGCCTGCACTTATGTAGAGTATAAAACTTAAAAAATTACATAAAAAAATTTCTTTTGAGAAAAAATTTCATTTAAAGTAAAAATTACAGAATTTTACCTGAATTACTAGTTGCAATCGCACACATCCGGCAAAAAGACTTCCAAAAACTAGTCCCAATGAATCGGACGTCAACATTTTTGGTACTGTTGATATGTAACTTCCGCGATGTAGTAAATATCTCTTTAGGATATTTTCGTCCGTTGCTTGGCCGCCAGTGAAAAAAATAGCGTCATATCTATAAAAAATTATTTTTTTAATAAATATAATGGAAAGAAATGGTTAAAATTCTATTCCAGAAATTATACTTGTCACGTAGTTCCAATTCTTTTTCAATATCGGACTCGCCAAGAGGAATAACTTCGTCGGCACCCAAAGCTCTCGTTACAGGCACCGCGTGCGGTCTGCAAGCGGAAACAACATATCCTCCCCACAGTTTTATCAGTTGCGTCAAAATACATCCAACTGGGGTGCTGCCTCCAAAAATTAAAACTCTGCAAATTTTTTTATAATTACTTTTCAATTATTATCCTTTTTTGTAATCCTTCAGTTAAATTAGTCTATTTTTTACAGCTATGTGGAAAATATAGTGTAATTAATTTTACAGAGTAATAGAAATTCTTAAATGGAACATTTTACCTCAGAGAAAATATTGTTATTTTGCCCCCTAAAAAGTATTTTAGGGGAAATAGGGGACTGAAAATTAAAAAATAGGGGACTTCTAGGGGACCATAAAAATTGGTTAAATAAATATAAAAATATAATTTATTTATACAGGGTTGCCACAAAAATGTAACTTTATTTTTCCCTGACTTTTTCCTGATTTCCAAACACAACTTTCACTCTTTCCCTGACCCTAAAGAATATTCTGATTCACTCTGAAAATTATTAGATACTCAAAAAAATGTTTTATTAAATTTATTTACAAATTTCTTCAAAAGTCAAATTATTCGAAAACATCAATAGTTTTTTAAAATAAATATTTAACCTTTTTTTTCATTGGAATTAAGATGTTCAAAAATTTCAAATTTTAACCTTTTCAAATTGAACAATTTTATAAAACCTAAAGATGACCGACTAACAAAATCATTAGTTTATTATTAATTTATAAGAATATTGTTCCTGTAATTTCTTCAAAATTATTTGTATCATTTCAATTTAATTAACATTTTCTAGAATTTTTAACTAAAATTCTACTTTAAATCAATGACATCAATTATTAATTCAATTAAACTTTTTCAAAAAAATTAATTCTACAGAATTGTTAGTGAAAAGTACGAAAAACAATAATTTAATTTTACGAGAAATCAATTATTTAAATACAAAAATAAATAATATTAAATGTTTCTTTAAATTTAATTTTTACGAAGAATTGTATTAACAACTTTTGAAAATATTTAATTTCTTTTAAGAAATTTAATTAAAATTTTAATGAAATTTATTATATTAAAGAATTTTATAACAATTTTTGAAAATATAATTAAAAACTTTTTGAAGAATTTTATTAAATTTTTTCAAAATAATTGAATTCCTGAGAATAATTTAAATAATAATTTTTGAAAATAATTGAATTCATAAAAAGAATTTTATTAAAATTTTTGAAAATAATTGACTTCAGAAGAATGTTTAAAAAAATTTTGACAATAATTTAATTCTTGAAAAGAATTTCCCTATCTATTTATAAAGATAATTTAATTCTTGACGAGAATTTTTAAAAAATTTTGAAAATAATTTAATTTCTGCAAAGTATTTTATTACTTTTCAAAAGAATTGAATTCTTGTGATGAATTTTGATATTTATCAAAATAATTGAATTTTGGAAAAGATTTTTATTAAAAAAATAATTGATTTTATGGGAAGAATTTATGCTATTTTATTGTTTATCAAGCTATTTGAATTCTTTTGCAAAATTACTTAAAAATTTTTGAAAATAATTGATTTTCTGCGACGAATTAAATGTTATTTATGAAAATATTTGAATTATTCCAACGCGAATTTTATTGTTTTATTGAATAATTGAATGTTTCTTAAAATTAAATTCTTTCCTCAAGTTTTAATAAAATTTTTAATAATAATTGCATTTTTCAAGGAATTTATTTAAAATTGTATTAAAAATATTTGAAATTCTGCGATGAAAATAATTGAATTCGTATAAATAAAATTTTATTATTTATAAAAATAATTGAATCTTTTCGTAGAATTGTATCAACAAGTTTTTTCTATAATTAAATTTGTTGATAAATTTTATGAAAATAGTAAATATTTAAAAACATTGAATTGCGAAAAACTTTTAAAAATAATTGAAATGTTGCAAAGAATTTTATTTAAATTTTTGAAAATAATTGAATTTTTGGCGAAAAATTTTGCTATTTATAAAAATAATTGAATTCTTGACGAGATATTCATTAAAATTTATAAAAATAATTGAATTTGTGCAAAGTATTTTATTAAATTTTGTTTAAATAATTGAAATTTTGCCAAGAATTTAATTAAAATTTTTGACAATATTTGAATTCTTGAGAATAATTTTGATATTTATCAAAATAATTGAATTTTGGAAAAGAATTTCATTAAAATTTATAAGAATAATTGATTTTATGGGGAGAATTTTGTTGGTTATCAAGATAATTGAATTCTTTTGCAGAATTACTTAAAAATTATTGAAAATAATTGATTTCCTGCGACGAAAAAATAGGGGAAATTTTCAAAATAGGGTACGTTTAGGGGCTAAAATTAAAAAAGGGGACTTTCAGGGAAATAGGGGACAGGCTGTGAAGCCTGAAATAAATTATTTACCTCTTGCCCTTCGCGTTTCCTTCCTTGATGACGGACCCATTGACAAGGGCGTCCCAGGCAATGCAGCCGTTGTAGGGTAAACTGGCGCACGCCTCAAAAGTTACTAGTTTTGGTCGTTTGGCTACTTGGGTCTCAGGAACCACAATGTACTCGGCCATTGTTCCCGGGGCCCATGCCGGCACTGCGAGAAACACCTCTTCACCAATGTCGAAATTAACGACATTCTGACCAATGTCTACGACGACTCCGGCGCAATCTCTGCCTAAAATTACTGGTAAATCTTTGTGTCTCTGTGAAATACATAAAAAACAAATCGTAACATATAATTTTCCTGGTCTTCGAAAAAATAGGGTTAGAAACTTACGCCTGAATTGAGGATTCTTCGATACGTTTTATAATATCCATTGCAAACATTTATGTCCACATTGTGTACAGCAGCGGCTTTTACTTGTACCAAGAGTTCGTTTTTTTTCTGTATCATAGGCATTTCAGCGTCCTCCACCATGCAAACGCCCTAAAAGTAAAAATAGAAATTTTTTTTTGTTATTTATCGAAGTATATAAATATTGAATCTAATAGTTTAAATATAACGTTTTAACTACTTAAATTTATTAAAAATAAAAAATATCGATATTTTTGACTTATCTTGTATTTTAAAATGATTGAAAATAAAAAAAAACATACTTTTTAATCTTTGAAGTCGATTTAAGATCTAAATACTTTATATTAAAAAAAATCTCTTCTCTTTGTATTCAATTAAGGAAAAAAATAGATAAACAATTTTTAACTCTCGAATGGTAATCATTAATGTTCAGGGTATTAAATGTAATACAAAATTTCATAAAATAATTACATGGTTGATACAAAAATTTAATTTTGTTTTTCCCAGACTTTCCCCTGATTTCCAGACAAAATTTTGACTTTTTCCCTGAATTTCTTTAATTGTAAAATTATTCAAAAACACCAATAAGTTCATTTTTAAATAAATATTTAACCGTTATTATTTTTCTATGGGAACTAAAATTTTCAAAATTCTTCAAATTCAATTCAATTATTATTTTCTAGATTTTTCAACTAAAATTCTTCTTTAAATTCATTTGTATACAATTCAATTTTACGAAATTTCAATAATTCAAAAATTCTTCAATTAAATATACATGAGAAAATAAAAACTTGAAATACATAATTTTTAAAAATTTCGATTAAGCTTTTTGAAGAAAATTAGTTCCATAGAATTTTTAATTAAAAGTATGAAAAATTCAAATTTTCAAAGATTTATCTAAATTTATCTAAATATTAACTGAAATTAATTTTTAAATAAATTTTTATTAGAAAATTCTACGAGAATTCGATTATTTAAATACAAACAAACAATTTATTGAATAATTGAATGTTTCTTAAAATTGAATTCTTATACATAATTTTATCAACTAATTTTTAAATAATTGAATTTTTTCGACGAATCTTAATGACATTTTTAAGAATAATTACATTTTTCGAAAAACTCGGTTAAAAAAGAATTGCATTCAAAATAATTGAAATTCTGCAATGAGTTTTATTTATTATAAAAACAGTTTCAAACAATTGATTTTTTCCAAAAAATATATGCAAATTCTATTTTAAATAATTGAATTTATAATAATTCGTGTAGAATATTATCAAAATTTTTGTTAAATAATTAAATTCTTTTAAAAAATTTTATTAAAATAGTAGAATATTGAAAATCATTTAATTAAGAACATTTTTTGCAAATAATTGAATTTTTCAATAAATTTTATTAAAAATCCTGAAATTATGTCGAAGAATTTTTTTTAGATTTTTTGAAAATAATTGAATTTCTGCGAAGAATTTTATTAACTTTGAAAATAATTGAATTTCTGAGAAGAATTTTATTAATTTTGAAAATAATTTAATTTCTGGAAAGAATTTTAATATTTATTAAGATAGTAAATTCTTTTAAATAATTGCATTACAACTTTTCAAATTGAAACTCACTTCAACAGAATTGAAATTACAATTTTTGAAAAAATACTTCATTAAATGATTAAAGAGTAATAACTTTATGGCAGTTCTTCAATAGAATTAAGTCATTTAAAATAAATTATTGTCAGAAGTAGAAAAAATTTAAGGTATTTTAGAATTCGTAATAATTTTATGAGGCAAACAAAAGGACACAAAAATTCAGATTTCTTTTATAAATTCTAAACATTTAATTTTTTTCAGTACTTTTAATAAAAATCCCTGACTTTTCTCTAAATTTCCAGATTTCCCTGACCTGTGGCAATCCTGAAGATGAATATAAATTATTTTTTCATTTTTATTTTCTGTTAGAAATTAATAAATTTTTAATTAAAAATTTTGTAAAACCAATTCGATACATTATTTTTAATCATCAAAAAAGGAGTATAAAAAATATTTCTTATTCAGAATTTTCTAATGTTTTTTTATCAAATGTTTCTTTGACGTAAAATATAAAATAGCGAAAAGAATTTAAAATGAAGTATTTTAAAAAAGGCACAATGAGATCAAAATTTTTAATATAGAACAAAGTTTTTTGAAACTAACCTCAACACCTTTATAATTATGACAAATAATTGCTTTCATATTATGCAAATGACGAGGAGTGTTTCGCCAATTTTGCCCAATGCAAAAACCAATCAAACTTCCGGTCGCTATTCCAATCAAGAAAAAGCCAATTTCTCTTCCTGTAACTGTGTAAAAAGAAAAAAAAATAGTTACATCATTATTGTCATTTAAGAAATTATTAAATTTACCGACAGAAGGATTCTAAACAATAAATTAATTAAAACAAAATAATTTAATTTAATTTTCAAACCTCCATTAGAGAAGAGATTTCCTACTTGATGATAAAAAGCCCTCGTGTTAAATTGAAATGTAGAGATTTTATATTGCAATTCATCCCAATTCCTTCTCATCAAATAAATAATTTGTAAACCAACTTCTTTCACCTGCCGAAAATATTCTTCGTCATTTAATTCCTGTAAAATTCGTCGACAATGCGATATGAATACCGATAGCCATTGTTGTCCATGTTGAAGAAAAACTGACGCCTCGACCTTAAAAAATTAGCAATTAAATATTAAATTAACTAATTAAAAAATTTTAATTTTAATTAATTTAAAGAAAACTTTCAAAGCAAGTTACTAAAATTTAACTATAGAAAATTTTAAACTTTCCGAATAAATTTTTCTTTAAATTCTAGTTTATATTTGGAATTTTAGTCGAAAAAATATTCATTATTAAGAGAGTAATTTTCCTGGAAATAATTCAAAATAATAAAAAAAAAATCGAAACGAGAACTTGGTCCCAAAAGATTGATAAAAATAGTTTGACAATTTGGCGTACGATCACAAATAAAGGGAAAATTTTGATGAAAAGCCAAAACGGTCAAAAGTCACGTGATTGATTGAAAAATGATTTTTGTCCCATAAAATATTTGCGTTCAATTTTAATTTTAATGAGAATTTTTTTTTGAATCTACAGTTATATTTATATAAAATAAAAATAAAGTCAGAAGTGTAAAAAATTAATAATTCATACCTGTAAAATTTCGAGTTGACTCGAGAGTCGAAACCAAATTTCGTCCATTTGTTTTTCGTTTGCTATACAGTAGATTAATTTTCTTTTTTTTCTCTTAATAAGACATAATTCTTGGCAGTGTTGTTATTTTTTGTTGTAATTTAAAGTAAGGAAACCCCCGGCGTCCGAACGGCTGGAAAAACGGCTCACTTGTGATATAAATAATTTCTATTGAGAACTAGACTCGAAAATAGATGCCGTACATTTCGAATATTATATACATACTATCATTATATATTTCATCTATTTAATTCCTCATTGAAATTGAAATTTTAAGATTTACTTTTTTCTGCGGACATTTATAACTGACTTGAAATTAATTCAAGGTTACTTTAGAATTATTTTGAAATAAAAATAAATATGACGATTTGACGTTACTTGTTTTTCATGATGGTATTTTTCACTGACTTTTCTAGGTTAGGTTTGCGCTAGGAATGAAGAAAATATTTTCCTCTATATTCATGGGGATGAATAAATTTTCGGTGTTTATGTTCTAACAACAAGGAGATATTGAATATTTGATTTTATTGTCGTTTTCTAATTAATGTAGGTATTAATATAAATATTTTAATAATTTTACTGTTAATTTTATTGGTTGGAATTTAAATTTCCCGCGTGAATAAATGTGTTAACTTCTAGAAGTTTGTCCTCGGCGAACTGCTTTACCACTGTTTACCACCAAAAACCAACAGCAACTAAATTGTTTTTCTATAATTTGTCTGATTTTTTCTTTTTTTGATTAAAAGTGTTTTCTTAATAATTAAAAAAGTGTTGAATTGAAAATGCAATTTTTTCTATTTGGATCTTTCTAGCATGAAATTTGTGATTTGATATTTTAGATAAAAAAATTGTGGAGAAATTTTTTAGGTTTGTCAAATGTAATCTAACCAAAAAACTGTTTTCGGTTTCTATCGTTTTTATTATCAAAAAAATAAAAAATGTTAATTTTTAGAAAAAAATTTCTTTTACAATTTTGCAGCTAAATTTAACTTTTTTCAGAACCGCAGAAAATGAAGAAGTTTTATCTGCTGAATATTACATACCAACTGTAGAAGTTTACCAAGGTTTGTTCTCAAGTCACCAGAGAGTGTTAAAGGTATATTATTTTATTTTTTCCTATTTGTACATAATTATTACTAAAACCTAATTTTTAATGATAAAAGTTACATAGGTTTATTTATTAAAAGTTAATTTATAACATGTTTATCTTCAGATAAATATATTTATATAATAATATTATAGTTGTGAGCCCAAAAAGAAAAATTTCTCATCAATTTGATGTCAAATTGATGGTTAAATTCATTACTCGAATTGACGAAAATGTGTCTCTTATTTTGACCATTTTTGATTGTCAATTTGACGATAATACTTATTTCTCAGTACTAAATTAATTTTTTGAAGATAATTTTCAATAAATTGTTCATTTAACAATTTTTCATCAACATTTAATTATTTTTAGAATTTACAATTGAAATTCTTCAAACTTTTTCAAAAACTTTTTGAAATATATTTTAACCAAAACCAGTAAAGTCAATAATAGTTAATAAAATAATTACTTTTTGGTTGAAAAACAAAATTTAACCCTAGAAATTACACGTGATTATTTTCATTAGGGAATAAATTTATACAGAATTATTTATATTTTTACGAAATTTTGACATTTTAAATTTCTAGTAAAATTTTTTTGATCTAACGAATATTAGAATATATTATTTTACTTTCATCAAATTGAGATCAATTTAATGAAAATTGAAATTTAATAAAAAAATGTATAAATTTATAATATATACAAGTAAATTAATTTAATAAAATATAATAATATTAATCAATATAACTAATTAACACTTTAAACAAAATCGTCAAATTTTCGTCATTTTTTTGAAAAATTTTGATCATTGATCATATAATAGTAAAAACTGACTTTAAGTTGATTGACGATTTCTTTTTTGGAGGAGTTTGATGTTGAAATTTTAACTACAAAATAATTGATTATAATTAATATTATATAATAATTATAATATAAAATTCAAATTTTTCGTAAAATTAAAGGTAGTAAGGAAAACTAAAAAAAATTTGATACCCCTATAAATGTGGGCAATATTGATTGGTTTAAATTTTGCTTAAGGTACTACTACACTTTAGAATTTTAAAAAATTTTATTTTTTTTATTGTATTTTTTAACTCTTTATGACTTCAGAAAACACCTCCTAAAGTATTTATAACCAATTGTAAAAAATAAAAGTAAATTTTTCAAAAAATATTCAATCCTTTCTTAAAAAAGACATGGTCCTTTCTTAAAAAAGACATGGAGTGGAAAGGTCGAATGTATCGAAAAGTATCGATATACTATTGTACATGTGAAGGTGGCGCTGCAGTCGTATGTTATTTAAAAAGAGCGCGAATATATAAATTTTATTTTTGTTAAGAGAAAGTACTCATAATAAATCTTATTTTGCATTGTCAAAAAAAACGTCAACATTTCAAATATAAATAAGCAAATTATTAACTGAAAAAATTTGAATATTATTATTAATGAAATAATGGACTTGGACAATGGACATATAAAAAATTAAAAACTAGCACCGTAGACGGCCACTTGCGGCCGTCGGAGGAGCTAGTTAATGTAAAAAGTCATTGACAAATTAAGTAAGTCTTTAAGGGGATGGTGGGGTCCAGCTTTTTGTTACGACCACTAGAAACATTGGTGCTAATGTATGTAACAGTGTCTGACATAAAAAAATGGTGGGGTTTCAATTTGCAAAAGAATTTTAGGTAATTTATGGATGGCCTCTATAACGATACATATATAAGTTTAAACGCGTTTTTCTCAAAATAACGTTTTCTAAAATTGCGGACAGTTTATCTCTGAATCTACTGAACCGATTTTAATAAATGATAACTCGTTTTGTTTGTTAGCATGTCCTGTGTGAGAATTTACCAGAAAATGGTCCAAAAATTCAAAAAAAAAATTTTTGCAGACTAGAAAAATACTGAAAAACATAGTGTATTTTGACAAAAATTATTGAAACATCTGCTATTTTTTTATTTTAGTCGATTTTTCATTATTGGTGGTAGATTTCTATGCAAGACACCTTCCTTTTTAAAAAACAATTTGGATTTTTTGTTTCCGATTTGTCAATCTTGAGATAAACTGTACGCAATTGGACAACTAACTTTTTGGAGTTTCGATCTGAATGCTGTCTGCAGATTATGATATTAAATAAAAATTAAAAACAAACCATTATTTTTATTCTCCAAATATGTACTAATATAGGCAAAAAAGTTTTTTAAATATTTATAATAAATTAATTAACACTGTTTTAAAAGTGCAATTCATATTTTTTTCTAAATTCTTTCATGTGATGTTCCTTACGATCACACCAAACTATTAAACCAATCATGTTTATGGAAAAAATTTTTTTATTCGTTCAAAAAATTAGTATTAAATAAACAAATAAAAATCTGACAGTAATCGGCCACTTAAAAAAGCTTTCATAAGCCGTACAAAAATTTGTTTTTCAATTACAAAAGTTTAGAAATGATTAGCAACAAACAAAATATTTTTATCTCATACGGTTTTATAGCTATTCAAAATTGAAAAGTGTCCGACTACTGTCTGGTTTACCCTATCATTTTTATAAAATTTAAATAATAAAGAATAAATTTAGATCCTAAATAGTACCAGAAAAAAATTATTATTACTATGTAATATTATAAATTATATATTTTTAATTTCATATATCGTAAAAATTGTTTAATTAAAAAACTCCAACATTGTTTCTAATTTTAAATATAAGAGCATATTTTTTAAATGTTCAACGGGGATTTTTCCAAATTTTTGGAAACGTTTTTACAATATTATGTGGGAATTTTTTTAAACGTATATATATATTGGGAATATCTGCTAATTTTTAGGAATTTTCTTTATTATTTTAAGAGAATTTTTTAAATGTTAAACGGAATTTTTCCTAATTTTTGTCAATTTTACTAGAATTTTCTTAAACGTTTATGAAATTTTGTCAAATTTTTTGCATTTCTTCTATATATTATTACATGGGAATATTTTCAACCATGTAAAAAATTTTCCATAATTTTTTGGAAAAATTCCTTTATTTCTGTAAGTAAAGTTTTCTAAATATCTAAAGGAATTTTTCCTAATAATTATACTGGATTTTCTTCCAAAATTTTTTGGGGAAAATTCCCAAAAATTTTCTTACAGTATACTTCTTATTTTTTAATTTTCCTTATTTTGAAATTCAAGGGTCATATATCGATTTACGGATTTTAATTTTTGCAAGAGTTTTTGTTACCTAAATGTTTAATTTACCGGACACTTTTTTTCCGAAGGCCATATTTTACCGAATTGTGATATTATCCCAATTTTGAAATGTAGAAATAATAAAGCTTTCTTATTTTATTCGTATATGCATTTTAAAGTGCACGTTTTTCAAGCTTTAATTTCTTGTATGAAAATTAAAAAAAATATTTTTTTCTTAACTTTACTTAAAAATAAGGAAAAATTTTTCTTCTCTTGTCAAAGATTGAAAAGAAAACAATATTTTTCGAGTTATCCGCCATTAACATTTTTGCAAAATTGTAATATTTAAAAATTGTTAACTTTAATATTTCAACTTTTAACTCATTATGTATTAAAAATTTTATTAAATGTTTGTCTATGTATATTGTCCTATAACTTTCGTATAGTGCGATATTTAAAAATTGGAAAGTTGAGAAAAAAGTAACAAGAAAGCTATAAATAGGATTATTTACTTGTCTTGGATATTTTACTATACTAAAATATGCAAACGACAGTTTTATCATAAAGGAAATAAAAAGTTGTTGGAAGAAACGGTCATCATTATTATCGCGAACAAACTTTTATACCTGAGAGTCTAAAAGATTCCTATTGAGTTTGAAAAAAAATATTATCTGTGTATATACGTTTTATTGATGAATTTTTATTTGAATGGTGCGTTTTAGTTTTCTTTTACTAAAAAGAAACACACACGTTTTTGAATAAATTCAATTGAAGGCAGTTGGAAAATGCTTCTGTTTCTTTTTCAGATCAAATATAAGAGGATAGAGGAGGAGAGATCTATAATAATTGATGGGTCTGCGGTTATAAATGGGGTAAGTTGTAACATGTGTAATTATTACTAAAATTGTGCACTTATAATGAATTTATATAGTTAGTTGCTGTAATGCGTAAACGGCTTGTTCAAAAAGCACGTTATTCATGACATGTTCGCGTCTTATATAGATGATATTAGAAATTGTAAGTCAATCTCCCACCATTTGAGAAGTTAAGAGTTTATTTTTATAAAACATCTGTTTTGCTAAAATGTCAACGTACTGTTTATCATATTGTTTCCTATATTAGTGATTCCGAATATTTATTTATGTAAATGTTTTCCGGAGTA